TAAGTTTTACAAGCTCTTTAAGTTTTTTAGTATAATCGTGTCTAGCATGATGCCTTCTATGCGCAAAGTCGTATGTTAACGAAGAAAAATGTAAACAATGAAGTCAGCAAAGATTCGCCTAAAGACTAATAAGCTATTTTTCTCACCATAAAACCATCCTATGGCAACACATTCGCAGATGACCACCAACAACAGAACTGATCCGCTGCCAGAGTATGCGTCAAACAATTGGAACACGTACATACCACCCTATAAAGATTATAAGCAGTGGATTTTACAATGCTTGTCAAGCACGGGTTTCACTTAATAATCCCCAGAACTTTGATATTAATATTATGCAAGTTTGGTTGCTTGTCTTGTTGCTGCTCTCTTAGTTTGCTTAACTATTTGTTGTTTGTTTTTAGTTTACTAAATTGCTTCTTTTTCTATTTTCTTCTGTCTCTCTGTATGCCTGTTTGTGTGTCGAGAGCTATGGAAGTGATAGGCAGGCTGATACATCAGGGCTCCTATTACCGACCTACATAGGAAGCTGGTCAATTGCTCAGATGTGCCAGTGTCAGTAATAAAGATGTTGAGATAGAGGATAAACTGAAATCAAGTCCGATCCATTGTACATGCAAAGCATGGACCGCATCTTTACCTCAGTAACCATGGACAAACCGAGTAGAAACCAGACGCAACAGATAAAGGCGGTAAACATTTCCTTGCGATGGCCACGCCTCAGATGTTGCGGAAACAAATCAACGACGCCTGTAACAACGCCCTCGATACCTACAAACTTGATGCAAAAAAGACAAAAATCATTACCATGGAATAAAAGAAACAGTACCAGCATATTACAGTTTATTTGCCATGTATCATGTCTCTCTTGGCATTTGGTCAAAATTTCAACTGTCAGCGGAGATTAAACTGAAAGACAGTTTTTTTAAAGAGAGCTAAGATCTTCGAAATTTATTGATTGCTGAGAAAGGGACTGAGTAACATTTTCACCAATGACTTAAAACGCCCCGAAAATTTAACTAATTACTGACATTTCACTACACCTTTAATCTACTGATCGCGTGTGCGAATCCCACCAAGCTCAAAATAGTCTTTCCTGCCTCGTGCATTCAGAGCAGTCTCTCGTTCAGCCCGTGGAATTTGCTGAGTTATATTCCACAAAAAGGCTATGTCCCCAAGCATACATTTACATCTTAAAACACATACATGTTGACTATTTCTCTTCACTTTCTTTTAGGAATCTTGAAATGTAGTTGTAACTATTTTCTTCATCATTTTTAACTCCGGCAAGTTAAATCGAGAAACGATTTATTCCATTATTTAGCTCTGTTAATTTACCTCACTGTCAAGACCGAGCAAGATTAACATGAAGAAAAACAAAGCAGACCATAACGGAGCTAAAGGCATCTGAGCAACCGCCTCTGGATAAACGATGAAGGCAAGTCCTGGACCTGTAAGAGAATTATCAATCGACAGAAAAACAAGAAACACCTTGAGTAAGGATAAAAATAAACCGCTTTCCTGAGTAGCAAAGATTTGAGAATATATTAAAATTCTTCTGAGTCTGAGTACGGAGTCCTCTGTCGTTACGCGTCTGACCCTGTCCAAACTGTTTTATGACCACGTACCAGACTATAAGGTTCCAGCAGCGATGAGGCCCTACCGTAAACTGACACCCTTTTCGTGAGAAGGTTCGTCATGGGTTGCCCCCTGCCCCTTTCCCCCCTTAAGGAAAGAGCTAAGTCATCGGCGAGATCTAGACCTGCAGCTGAATTTATTTCTAACTGTAAACCCGATCTGAATTGTAGACTCAAGCCTACACCTTACTTTTAGTATTTCAAAAATATTATATCATTGGTCTCCTTTATTGCAGACTATGCCAGAATAGGGAGACTAAAATGCTCCAGATAACCATGTAACCTTGTCCAGTGAAGCATACCAATACAGCTTCGTACAGGAATTCAACTAACACTTTTGGGATTCCCGATTGCCGGATTTTCTGTTGCGTACGACTGACAGCCTTATTGACCTCCCTGGGCTTCCATGACTTACACGTTGATATTTTGTAAATACGTTTATAAACGGAAAAAATAAAACAAACAAAGACAAAAAATAGGTTTTTGACCACAACAGTGTGATAAACGTTTTAAGAACACTCAGGGCATTTCCTGATGTAATCGCAAGCGCCCTATAGTATGCGTCGCAGGCCGGTAACGGTTAGTAAATGACAAGTATTCTTATAACCTGACTTAGCGACATCCTTCACTTTCACTCCTTGATTTTTTGCCATAAATCCCAGCACTGAGAAGATCAGAAATCCGCCATAGAAACTTGTTCCACTATTGCAGCATGTAAATATTATGGAATCCCTAAAGAAATGGAAAAAAGGGTCAAACCGTAATAACAATAGATTTTAAAACATGCATTCACAGCAAACTCAAGTGATTACGAAATTGTACTGATCAAAAGTGTCTTTTAGAGAGTCACGAAGTAGCTGGCACTTTCGGAGCCGTTGCAAAAATGATTTACTATAGTCAGTCACACTACTTGGAGTTGTTGGCATCAGTCAGTCGATGGACTATGAAGTGACTCCATGACAGTTGTTGATGAGCATCGTCTTGTGTGGTTGTAAAAGTGAATCCTGGATTAATTGCGATCTCTACTGTAGCCCTGGTGAGTGAAGAAAGATGCCTGTCGTGGATTTAGGTGATGATCAGGATGGATCTGGCTTTTCTCCTGGCCCTTCGTTGGCCGTTTTTGTCTCGGATGGCAGTCTCCCATCTCTTCTGGAGTGTAATTTGGAATAGGGAACTACACATACAAGTGCTCCTTTTTCAGTCTTCGATAATTTAAGGATTCCTTGGGTTTTCACATACAGAAAATCTCCGAACATCTTCGAGATGTCAAGTGACTAAGGCGGCTATCGGCAATCGTCATGTGTCGCTGATTACTCGAATACACGAGCAAAGACCTACACTGTTACAGCACTTATTATTGTTGCCTAACCTGTAAAAGTTGTTCTTAAATTTGTTGTAGCTTCCAAGCGCTGTCATGGTCCCCATACCAAGGGAGTATGAGAAAAACACTTGAGTCGCGGCGTCGATCCAGACCTAAACGAAAAAAGATCTTTTGACGTTGTTGAGCTTCATCAACAACAGCTATATCCGGAGCTTTAAGACCTCAGCAAAAGCGGTTAACCTTTCAAAGTCCATTCCTTAGCATTCCTGTTTCTGAGAGATTGATGAAATTGGAGTATGGGACCGTCCGAAATGATTAAGTACAATGGGACTAGTGTCACATGGGTCCTAGGTTAAGCGTTAAGACCTGGTAGAAACGTACCTAACTGGCGAGTAGAGGCCCTGACAATAGTACTGTACTGGATAAATTAGGGAAAGATCTACTAGAAATGCGGTGAAAACAACTTTTTTTTCGCACACGTTAGTTGGATAGCAACGCAGTGCTTCTTACAGAAGAAGCGTTAGGTGACATTAAAGTCTTTCATTTCAAGAGAGTTAAAGCCATGCAGAGCTACATCAGCGGCCATTAGCACTGTTATTGTTCCCTTTAATTATTATTTAGCGTGCGCGGTCGATGGATGTCATGGTGCGACATTACAACATGAATTGCGCACGTAGTAAGAATACACAGAGACAATTGGTCAGAACGTACTTGAACAAAAAAATCGAAAAGATATTAATACCTGGCCATCTGAAAGTCTTGACAGATCAGGAGTAAGATAAAACTTGATTCCATCAATGGCTCCCGGCAATGTCACTCCACGAATCAGACTGGCGGTCAATAGCAGATAAGGAGCTGTAGCAGTGAAGTACACAACCTGAAAAGGAGGCGTCTTAAGCGTAACACGAAGACCAAATAATTAAATCACGAAAATGCTCTTATCAAAGTAGCAAACATAGAGTCACATGATCAAAAGGTCTCGAATTCAAATCCTCCTCCCTGTCGATAGATGGATTTGTGTTTGGTGGTCCCAGATTTAACTCCCCCACGATTGGTAAATAGCCAACTAGTCAATCTCCCACCAGTTGCGATCATTTTAACAATTTTCTGTTCAATTTGTTTGCAATATTTGTTTGCTTGTAAAATTAATAAAGTAACGCTAAAAACGGAGACTTAAATAAGGTGATCTATTTTCTTTATTTTACAATCAACATATCTATTTCATACAAGCGAACCCACATGAACTGTCACACCCCAATTGACCCTTTGCATGAACTTGTAACATGGTACAAAATTTGCGACATCCTAAACCAAGAAGAGTCAGGTTTAACTGTTTGAAGCAGCTTTGTTACGTTGATTTCAGAGGCTGTGGCATTTATTTCCTCCCAGAATGACTGATTTTTTATCGTGAGACAGGTTCTCTTGTGACAAGCTGGTAAAACGATTTTAACATGATGACTGAATAAACCGAAGCTGCGTTGCTTTGCCTTTACATTTTTTTATTTTCATTTCACTTTGCCTAGACATTCGATACGTCATTTGTTAATTTACGTTAACAATGTTTGAAGCTATTTTAAACACAATGAACTGTCACCTTTCCGCTGGATTTGACTCCTTTACACACACATAAGTAACAAATGATCCAAGCCAACAACAGANTTGTATATCATCACCGCGGGAATAAGAATTAACGAGGATACCATCAGCAGCCAACCAATCGCCTGCCCCCAGCCTGGGTACACGTAGTCGCCGAATTTGAGTGGTGAATACGTCACAAGGTTAAAGACGAAAATAAACTGCAACGTTGAATATAAAAATCAATGAGGCAACCACTAAAATTGGGTCGAGTAGCAGCTCTGGTAAGGTCTCACATTAATGACTTGATACCCTTTGAGACAACGGAAGCAATCGGCCCTTAGACCCAAAACAGTAACTCGTGCTAGCAAGCAAAATAATTGCAAGCTGACAAGAGCTGCTGCAGTTCTGTAAAGAAATCATCATTTATGAATTAAGAGGAGGTGACAATTGTTTTAGCAAATTCGAATTCTACTGATTCCTTTGAACAAGCAAGCAGAGAAAATTCTCTTGGACAATAGGTTGTTGAGGTTACACAGAAGGAGGGCTATATGACGCGTATTTTTAAATAAGTTTTATATTTTCCAGGCGGTGACTGGCCGCAACATAAGGTTCAGAAATGGGTATACCACGGCGAAACACGCCACTCGCCACTAACAAGTCATAGGTTTGTACTTTGACGAAAGCAAATTCAATCCATGCTTCAGTTGCAAAACTGGAAAACAATTTACCGTTTTAACAGGTAATACGACATGTAACAGACCTGATACCAATCTGACTGTTTTTAATCATGGAGCTAATCATGGTTACTAAGTTACATCTCGAGAAAGCATATTTTAGGGGCATACGGCTTACCATGTCCCCTGATTTGATTTTCTATACCTAAAGTTTGTAAATTATCTGGAGGTTTTCTGCCGTTCGCAGAAGAGATTTGAACATCCGAAAAGCAGTGCGAGATATTCTACGATCAACGATATTATACTTGCATCGATTTACTGAATCAAAAAACTCACCGAACAAAAAATGGGCGCGAGAAAACACCAGCACCAGCCAATCCATGGATTGATTCGAAATCCCAGCATGCTTTCAAAGTTGTCATAGAAACGATGACGTCCTGTTAATAGTCGTAAGAAATTAGTAGAATATTTGTGATAAAGCAAGCCACATGACGAAACTACCTAAGATAGGTCTGGTTAGGTCTGAAAATTTGTATGGAAAATGGCGTACTTTGGCCTAAAATAAGCTAAGTAAAAAGTATCGAGAGCCGGGTGGTGCACACCCACCAAAATGTGTAGCACGCTATTTATATGTAACATGGAAATGTTACCATAATGTACAACACTCCACCCCTCCCTTCCGGGAACTCAGCATACTATTGATATGTAACATGGAAATGTTACCATACTGTACAACACTCCGCCCATCCTTTCCGGGAACTCAGCACGCTGAGGAAATTGGGAATTTGGGTACGAGTTTGGAAATTTGGTTAGGAACCAGATATGAATCATGCGTCATTAAATAACTGATGATTGAGATTGGCACACAGGGATTGAGGTTTTACTGTTGAAATTTAAGATTCTCAAAGGCATAGTCTTTCTGTAGTTGACGACCGTTATAGGAGAATCTTTGTTTACAATATTTACCTCATTACCGTAAGCGATACAGTTTCTGATGGAGCTACAAAGAGATTAGTACTGAATATTGAAACGGCACAGCACGATTAACTGTCCCAAGGAATTTGAGTGCGATGTATTGAATACATTTTGTGCGACCAGGGTTTAAAAGCTCAAAATTTTATAAAGCATGTATGAGCTCATTAGCATAGCGCTTTTGCCACACAGTCAATTTCTCCTCGAATATTTCACCCAAAGAGCCAAAATTTTCACCACTTACTAAGTTTTACAAGCTCTTTAAGTTTTTTAGTATAATCGTGTCTAGCATGATGCCTTCNTGCCACACAGTCAATTTCTCCTCGAATATTTCACCCAAAGAGCCAAAATTTTCACCACTTACTAAGTTTTACAAGCTCTTTAAGTTTTTTAGTATAATCGTGTCTAGCATGATGCCTTCTGTGCGCAAAGTCGTATATTAATGAGGAAAAATGTAAACAATGAAGACAGCAAAGATTCGCCTAAAGACTAATAAGCTATTTTTCTCACCATAAAACCATCCTATGGCAACACATTCGCAGATGACCACCAACAACAGAACTGATCCGCTGCCAGAGTATGCGTCAAACAATTGGAACACGTACATACCACCCTATAAAGATTATAAACAGCGTATTTTACAATGTTTGTCAAGCACGGTTTTCACTTAATAATCCCAAGAACTTTGATATTAATATTATGTAAGTTTGGTGGCTTGTTTTGTTGCTGGTCTCTTGGTTAGCTTAACTATTTGTTGTTTGTTTTTCGTTTGCTAAATTGCTTCTTTTTCTTTTTTCTTCTGTCTTTCTGTATGTCTGTTTGTGTGTCGAGAGCTATGGAGGTGTTCGGCAGGGTGATACATCAGGGCTCCTATTACCAACCTACATAGGAAGCTGGTCAACTGCTCAGATGTCCCAGTGTCAGGACTAAAGATGTTGAGATAGAGGATAAACTGAAATCTAGTCCGATCCATTGTACATGCAAACCATGGACCGCATCTTTACCTCAGTGACCATGGACAAACCGAGTAGAAACCAAATGCAACAGATAAAGGCGGTAAACAGTTCCTTGCGATGGCCACGCCTCAGATGTTGCGGAAACAAATCAACGACGCCTGTGACGACACCCTCGATACCTACAAACTTGATGCAAAAAATGAAGATCATTGTTACGAAATACAAGAAAAAGTATCTTCAAGATATTTATTTGCCTTGTGTCATGTCTCTCTCGTTCCTTAGCTGGCAATTGGACAAAATTTCAACTGCTAGCAGACAATGATAGAAAAGACGCATCTTTTGTTTTCGTTTTTTTTTTTAACTGATTGCTGAGATCTGCAGAATTTACTGATAGCTAAAAAAAGGCGCTGAAATTTTAACTAATTACTGAAATTCCAGCACTCCCATGCCGACCGTCAATCGATATCCACAAGTCTTGGTGCTAATCTCAGCGAGATCAAAAAATATTTTTCCTTGCCATGTGTAGACTCTCATTCTTTTTTTTAAGGTTAACATCCTGAAGGATATTACTGAGTTATTTTCAGCCTAAAGGCTATGTTCCGAAGTATACATTTACATCTGAAAACGCATACAGAATTTCTCGTCCACACGAGTCCGACGATCCGTATTGTTTGCACTGTACTTGACAACACGAGAACGATAAACGGATAGGTTAACTAAATCTACTCAAACCAGAACGCAAGGATACGAGATGGACACCGAGCGTTCGTTTATGGCTTGATGCAGTCCATACAAGAATACGAACGCGTATTGGAAGGTAGTCTTTCATGGGCAAAAACTTACACGTGTGGAACAAGCTCAATGAGAAATAAATTCTTTGATTTTCAGATAGGTAATACTATGTCCTGATATCATCATACTCCTGACTAACGATTTCTCAAAACTCATTTTAGGGAATCTTGAAATATAGTGGTGACTAAAGTTGACGATTTTCTTCATTATTTTTACCTCCTGCGAGTTAAATCGAGAAACGATTTATTCCATTATTTAGCTCTGTTAATTTACCTCACTGTCAAGACCAAGCAAGATTAACATGAAGAAAAACAAAGCAGACCATAACGGAGCTAAAGGCATCTGAGCAACCGCTTCTGGATAAACGATGAAGGCAAGTCCTGGACCTGTAAGAGAATTATCAATCGACAGACAAACAAGAAACACCTTAAGTAAGAATGAAATAAACTGCCTGCCTGAGTGGCAAAGATAGGAGAAAATATTCATTTATAAATCTTCTGAGTCTGAGGACGGACTGCTCTGTCGTCTTGCGAGTCTGACCCTGTCCAAACTGTTTTATGACTACGTACCAGACTATAAGGTCCCAGGTGCGATAAGGCCCTACCATAAACTGACACCCTTGTCGTGAAAGGGTCCCTCATTAGTTGCCCTCCCTCATATCCCCTTAAAGAAAGAACTAAGTCATTGACGAGATCTAGATCCGACGCTGAATTTATTTCTTATTGTAAACCCAATCCGTATCGTAGACTCAAGCCTACGCCTTACTGTTAGTATCCCAAAAATCTTATATCCTAGGTCTGCTTTATTGCAGACCATGCAAGAATAGAGAGACTAAAATGCTACAGATAACCATATAACCTTGTCCAGTGAAGCATACCAATACAGCTTTGCACAGGAATTTAACCAACACTTTCCTGATTCGCGATCCTTGGATTTTTTTTGTTGCGTACCATTGACAGACTTACTGGCCTCCCTGGGCTTCCTTATCTTACTCATTGATATTTTGTAAATATGTTTATAAATGGAAAAAAAATAAAACAAGCAAAGACAAAAAATGACTTTATAGATTTTTGACCACAACAGTATGATAAACGTTTTAAGAATACTCAGGGCATTTCCTGATGTAATCGCAAGCACCCTGTGGCATGCGTCGAAGGCCGGAAAGGGTTAGTAAATGACAAGTATTCTTATAACCTGACTTAGCGACGTCCTTCACTTCCACTCCTTGATTTTTTGCCATAAATCCCAGCACAGAGAAGATCAGAAATCCGCCATAGAAACTTGTTCCACTATTGCAGCATGTAAATATTATGGAATCCCTAACGAAATGGAAAAAGGGTTAAACCGTAACAACAATAGCTTTTAAAACATGTATTCACGGCAAACTCAAGTGATTACGAAATTGCACTGATCAAGAGTGTCTTTTCGAGAGCCACGAGGCATCTGGTTCGGAGCCGTTGCAAATATAATTTACAGGTTGTTGATGAGCATCGTCTTGTGTGGCTGTAGAAGCTAATCCTGGATTAATTGCGATCTCTACTGTAGCCCTGGTGTGTGAAGAGAGATGCCTGTTGTGGATTTGGGTGATGATCAAGATGGATCTGGCTTTTCTCCTGGCCCTTCATTGGCCGGCTTTTGTCTCGGATGAAAGTCACCCCTTTCTTTTGGAGTGTAATTTGGAATAGGGAACTCCACGTACAAGTGCTCATTTTTCAGTCTTCAATAATTTGGGGATTCCTTGGGCTTTGACGTTCAGAAAATCTCTCAACATCTTCGATTTATCACATGACTAAGACGACCGTCGGCAATCGTCATGAGCCGCTTATTACTGGAATACACGACCCACGCTGTGATAGCACTTATTATTGTTGTCTAACCTGTAAAAGTTGTTCTTAAATTTGTTGTAGCTTCCAAGCGCTGTCATGGTCCCCATACCAAGGGAGTATGAGAAAAACACTTGAGTCGCGGCGTCGATCCAGACCTAAACGCAAAAAGATCTTTCAACGTTGCTGAGCTTCATCAACAACAGCTATATCCGGGGCTTTTGAAACCTCAGCAAATGCGGTTAACCTTTCAAAGTCCATTCCTTAGCATTCTTGTTTCTGAGAGATTGATGAAATAGGAGCATGGGACCGTCCGAAATGATTAAGTACAATGGGACTAGTGTCAGATGGCTCCTAGGTTAGCCGTGAAGACATGGTAGATACGTACCTAACTGGCGAGTAGAGGCCCTGACAGTAGTGCTGTACTGGATAAATTAGGGAAAGATCTACTAGAAATGCAGTGAAAACAACTTATTTTTACGCACACCTTAGTTTGATCGGAACGCAGTGCTTCTCACAGAAGAAGCGTTAGGTGACATTAAAGTCTTTCTTTTCAAGAGAGTTAAAGCCATGCAGAGCTACATCAGCGGCCATTAGCACTGTTATTGTTGCCTTTAATTATTATTTAGCGCGCGCGGTCGATGGATGTCATCGTGCGACATTACAACATGAATTGCGCACGCAGTAAGAATACACAGAGACAATTGGTCAGAACGTATTTGAACAAAAAAATCGAAAAGATATTAATACCTGGCCATCTGAAAGTCTTGACAGATCAGGAGTAAGATAAAACTTGATTCCATCAATGGCTCCCGGCAATGTCACTCCACGAATCAGAATGGCGGTCAATAGCAGATAAGGAGCTGTAGCAGTGAAGTACACAACCTGAAAAGGAGGCGTCTTAAATGTAACACGAAGGCCAAATAATTAAATCACGAAAATGCTCTTATCAAAGTAGCAAACATAGAGTCACATTATCAAAAGATCTCGAATTCAAATCCTCCTCCCTGCCGATAGATAGATTTGTGTTTGGTGGCCCCAGATTCAACTCCCCCACGATTGGTAAATAGCCAACTAGTCAACCTCCCACCAGTTGCGATCATTTTAACAAGTTTCTGTTCAATTTGCAATATTTGTTTGCTTGTAAAATTAATAAAGTAACTCTAAAAACGAAGACTTAAATAAAGTGATCTATTTTTTTTATTTTACAATCAACATATCTATTCCATACAAGCGAACCCGAATGATCTGTCACACCCCAATTGGCCCTTTGCATGGAATTGTCACATATTTGTTAATTTATTTACAGTGTCCCCAATTAGCACATTACGGCTAAATACATCGACACTTTAATAAAGTGATTATTATTATCATCATCATCATCATCATCATCATTATTATTATCATTATTATTATTATTACCAAATTTGCGACATCCTAAACCAAGAAAAGTCAGGTTTAACTGTTTGAGGTAACTTTGTTACTTTGTTTTCAGAGGCTGTGGCATTTATTTCCCCCCAGAATGACAGATTTCTTATCGGGAGACAGGTTCTCTTGTGACAAGCTGGTAAAATCATTTTAACATGATGAGTGAATAAATCGAAGCTGCGTTGCTTTGCCTTTGCATCTTCTTTATTCTCATTTCACTTCGCCTAAACATTCGATACGTCATTTGTTAATTTACGTTAACAACGTTTGAAGCTATTTTAAACACAATGAATTGTCACCTTTCCGCTGGATTTGACTCCTTTACACACACATAAGTAACAAATGATCCAAGCCAACAACAGACACAATGCTAGGTCCCAGTTCACTTGACCTGGTTCACTCAAGCCGCCAGAAAGTCGTAAAACTCTGTAGCTATTGCGAGAAAGAAAAGATGCAACCGTCAATTTGTTAACGCACCAGACAGCTATGGTACCAATAAATGGCGAGTAAAAGGTATTCTTCAGATATTTGAGGTGGTCGTTTCTTTGTTTGATCAATGACATTGCTTTTTCGGGCAGCAATAACGTGTTAAAACAGAGCGCCGGAAAACACGCAGTGCCTTTGTTTAGTCTTTAAGTTCAGAGAGGAGTACAGTGCTATACGCAAGTCAAGAAACAGGATATTATAAGCAGAAAATGACAGCTGCAGGGGACCAAGTACGTTTTAGGTATTAAAGAAATAACATGCAATTATTTCATAACATTGTTATCAAATAAACTATTACTTACTCCCAATATTCCTGGCTTGCAGACACCTTATTTGCATTTTTCAGTGTTGTGTTTACAAGCATAGTGGTATTTGCTATTGAGTGGTTCGTGTGCATTCCGGAGTGAGTGCTCTTTTCACTGTAATCCACNAGGAACACCAACATCAGGTGGCCTCAGTACTGGCAGTATCCTTCTAATCATGTAAGATGTCATGTTATTGAGCTTATTTAACCTCCAGTCTCTTAGATATCTAAGGGCCTTCATAGACTATAGACATTTAGTAATCACCCAACTAGTGGACTAGTGCAAATCCTGCATTTCAATTGGCTACGCTACTAGAGGACTATTAGTAATAGTCCTCGAGTAACGAAATTGGCGCGATCGAGCGTGACGATTTCTTTCGTTTTATTCCCAAATAACTATTTCTTCAACTTGCATTTGCTAAGTTTATTATTGCCTTTTCTGTCCGACTAGTTGGGTGATACTAAAACAATTAGATCCTTCTCCCTCAAGGGCCACGGGTCAATAGCTTATGAGGCGAAGCCGAATGGGCTATTGGCCCGTAGCCCTTGCGGGCTACGGGTCCAATTGTTAATTAGTTGTCGACAGCTATTTTTTTTTTTACTAACTAACAAACATCACTTACAGTACATGAAAAAACCTACTTGCAATACTTTGCATTACGTTACTTGCTTACAATACGCAATAATTACTTTTATGACATAACCTACTTACACATGACGTTAGTTAAGGACTTACAATACACTGTAATTACTTACTTACAGGAAAAAAAAAACTTGCAACAAATTATTAGAGACACGCCTTAACTGGTGAGAAAGAATTTCCACTTCTGTTGAAATTCCCTTTCACCATTCAAGTGGCAGCAATATATTTTTCTATCTCGATTTTATCCTGCACTAATGAGATGAAGGCACTGAAAACGAACATACTATTATTTAGCGCGTTGATATATAGAAAATATTTCCCTAGCATTATGAGGTGGTTGAGGGTCAAACGGTGCGTACAGGGGCGAGTAATTCCAACTAATACCTCTGGCTCGGAGAGAAGTTAACTTGCATTACTGCTCTAGTTGTCGACGACTGACTGGTTGTCAACAACAACGTTTCGACCGGTTTTTTCCGTGTGTGGGGATCAGTGGTTTTGTTGTCGACAACTATTGAAACATGACATGCGTATTGTGTTTTGAGCATGCGTGGTGAACGTTAGTTCCCAAGCTCTCGCTGGCCTGACTTAGTTATCGACAGCTAACACTCTAATGTGTGGAATGCTCGCATCGGACACAAGTAGTTGTCGATAACAGTTGTCGGAAACAAATAGTTGTCGACAACTAAATGTCTAGGCTGTGGAGGGCCTAAGAAAAACCCTAATTGACACACGTCTCCGAAATCAGTTTCCTCGGAAAGAGGACGACATCTTCCTACTTAGTACTCCTTGATAAGTGGCGATAATTTAAACCCTACATATTAATTCATCAAGCTTAAACAAAAGAAATTATGATCGCGACTTTGTTTGGATATCTGATCTTAATTAGCACAAATTTTTTCAATTTTATTTCTCCATTTTCTCCTGAGTTTTAGTCTCGGCTTAGAAGGTATATCAAACACTCAAGACAGTGTTTGACCACATTTCCAAACAGCTTAAAGTTCGACAAAAATACTCCGCTACGCGTCGTATTTTCAACTTTCTTCTCGTTGTTTGAAATGTGATAAATCAGTCTTTCGTGTTTGATATATTACTTAAACAGGTAAGAAGGAAGTTTGAGGGTAATTATTCTTTCGTTCAACATGTCCCAACAGGATGCTGAAACAGTGGTAGCTCTTGTATCCAGCGATGTTAGGAGATATTGTATCAAACTGATGTAATATTTGACCGGGACTTTGCACAATTTCTTTTCAGATTTTTTCCTTTGCTTCTTATGTACCTCATCATCGGAATGTTGATAAACCGTTATGGCCGTGGAATACAGAGCATGCCTGAATTACTACCAAATCATTCCTTCTGGGCCGACTTTCCCTTTCTTGTTAAGGTAAATGTACGAGTTAATTAAATACTTGAGTTCTTTCTTTGGGTTTGTGATCATTTGTATGTCGAGATTAGGGATTATTCCTCGATGCACGGGATAAAAATCTTCTTATTTGGGGAAACAATCTTAGTGTGGCTGCCTCCTTTTATACAACACAGCAATGACATCATCATCATTATCATTATCATTATCATCAATAACGACGACAACAACAACAACAAACCAAGGACAAAATTACCATATTATTTGCAACAATTACATTTGCTACCCAGACTTATCACATAGACTGAGTCAAGTTCAGGGCTGCTAAATGTAGGATTGAAATAAAGTACATCGTTCTTATTAAGCTAGATTAATATACAAGTAAATAGTACAAATGATTTTAATTTTTTCTAAGCAAACCTGAAAATCATTCAAATCCAACTGCACATGGCCCGTGGGTGGTCAGACTTTAGTTTTTACCTTTCAGTGCAGGGCAAATCCAGTACGACCTATTTGTGGGAAAAATGGTGAAAGACTTTTCTTTTTCGCTTTTTGTCTTCAGGATGGAGTTGTATTCACTTGTGGCTGTATCAAGGGTGTGTGTTCTTCCCTTTATCGGAAATGCAATAAAGACGGGTACGCCGAGATATAGGGAGAGATTTCTAGTTTTGTTCCCGGAAAGACATGGATGCCTTTAACTTTGCAGTCCCTCAATTTTTCAGTCTCTGGTGATAATATTAAATTAACAGATAGATTCCATGTTGCCGCGCGTCTGTTCAGTAATTGGTGGCACACGATCGATGTGACTGACACTTTTACCACCTTTGGACATCATCTGTGATCAATTACTAAACAGACATACGGCAACATAGAATCTACTTGTTCTGTATAACAAAGAAACCAAAAAATGTAAATGACGCCGTTTATTTACTTCTGTAAGATATTGGAGGAGAATAGTAAAATGCGAGAATGATTAGATATATTTTGCAATGGAATTTTATCATGGAAAACGTCATAATATATATCATTATGTTAAATTCTCAAACCCTTAGGAAGTCTTATTAGTGTTACAATGTGAGAACGTTAATAAGAACTTTTATGTTGAGATCTTAAGGGACTTATGTAGGAATTTGAAAATTATCGCACAAGAATGTTTTTGCTAGTAACACTCTGATTTGTACTGTATCTGTAACATATTACACATTGTTTGAAACTTGTTATACAAGGTAGAAAGGTTAACTTCCCTGACATACCATAAATTGCTGGAGACTTTATACAAAGCAGAAACGTGAAATACAATTCCCGGCACAGCTATGGGGGCATCCTTGCTGACGTCACAGCTTACATTTTGCCTCACATCATGCTCTTTGGTGTACTATTCAAGGAGAAATTGCCTTTCATAAACTGTAAAATGTGTTGGTGGCAAAAGCACTAATGTTGTCATACTATCTTTGTAAATTTCCAGTTTCTAAACCCGCGTCGTACAAAAAGCATTAACACATTGTGTTCAGATTCCTTGGCAGAGTTATTCGTGTCATGACCTTTCAACATTCAGATCCAAGTTTTATTTTTGTAGCTCCATCAGCAACTGAATTGCTTATGTTAATGAGGCAAATGTTGCAAGCAAAGATTCCCCTATAGGTTTGAATACATGTATCTTTGTTGGCGCTATGCCTTTCTCTCCTTTCCCTCCTTTGTTAGGTGTTTTGAAACGTTGAAGGGAGCGAGAGAGAAAGTGCCCAACTAATTGTATCTGAGATCGTAGCCTTTATTTCTTGCATGTGTCAATACAGTGTGTCGTTTGTAATACGTCTTAATCTTTCTGTAGGGTGTAAGTCGTAGTACCCCATTCCAGAGGTTACTGAGCATTCTTTTTTTCATATTTTGCTTTTGGTATGTTGTTTGCCATTTTTGTTTTTACGTTTTGTTTTTGGCTTGCTTTTTGTGCTATTTTATTTTCACATCTTTGTTTTTGTTTTTAGCGACCCATTGTTTTCCAATTTTTTGGTTGGTTTGTATTTTTTGTTTTAATTTTTTTTTTATATTTATCTTTTGTCTTTTGTCTTTTGGTTTTTTATTTTGATTTTTTCAGCTTCAAATTTCAAACCCAAAACGAAAACAAACGGTCGGGGTGTAGACCATCATTCTTTTTAACTAATGATGAAAAAAAATGCTATTATTTTAAATATTAGCTCCGTGTAGAATCAGGACTGACTACGTAAGCTTCGTTTTAACGTTGTCAAGTAGAAGTGTTTTGTAGAGTTTATACGAAATAGGTCACGCTGTTGTAAGTGTAAATCTGACACAACCAGAAAACCAGGTCGCCCATGTGTTGTAGTCATTTTGGCAGTACAGATCAACTACTTTTTAATATTTTGGCCAGTCTTAATTGCAATACATAGCACAAAAAATGTAGAAATAAAAGCAAAGGTTGCACAAATGTTAGCGAATTAAGATTTGACCAGTGACCAAAGTGAACAGGGTTAAGAGTTGGTCACTGACCAAAATCGAAACAAAAGTTTATGTAAATCATGAAAACTGTTTTGTTGTCGTTAATTTTAACCCTGATGGTCACCAGATGTAACGTTCGGATAGTTCAGCCTCCTTTTTACGTTAGTTGTTAATGAATTTGACAGTTCTTTTGGCATGCATTTGTGTCTATAACCCTGAAAAATAGTAATTGACACTGGAAGGCAGTCTTTGGAATGAGTCTTCTTGTTGTTGTTCAATATTACCCTTGGTATTTTTGTATTGTCCCTTGTTTCGTATACATTATTGAACAATTATTTCACGAGCGCGCGTTGGATATGAGATGGTAGATAGACGCCGAGTTGGCTATAATCCAACTCCAACAAGCGCGAGTGGAATAATCGTTTTGTTAAAAACGCCCACAAAATATAGAAAATTAGGCTAAAACAAAAATAAAAATGCCCCCAAAATCACGTGCACGCTTACCACATTTGTAGAGCATGATATCATTGCTCATAACCCATGATGGCTAAGCCAATGAAAACTCTCGAATTTCATTATCCATTGACCCAATTTTTAATAGAATGTATTACCATAAACCAGAACAGAGGGAAACACCAAATCGTACCGAAGGTTGAAATTAAACCACAGCATATACAGTGGGACCTCTTTAATACGGACAGCTAAAGGCGAGAGCCGAGTGTATCATGAAAGTGTTCATATTATAGAGGTAGAGAATATGTAAAATCCTGGTTTCTGGATACAGAGCACTGTTTTTGTCGGGTAAATGCACCTAGTTAGCATCAGAACAACTTGTTTTACACAACAAAAGCAGTGAGGTCTGTGCCAAAACAAGGTCAACTCCAGCCTCGCTGCCATCCAAAGGCCAGGTCACTGAGCAGACAACTGTAAAATAGTCTGTTGAACTGTTGAACTGTCCATAATAATTATAGAGGTTTCCTTGGTTCAGTGGAGTCCGTAAGGAGAGGTTCGACTGTATGTTGGAAAAATAATGCATCTTGTTCAACAGATTTAAAATATTTTCTTAATTAATTAGGTTTATTCTTCTATGAGCAAAGCTACACTTGAAAACATTTGTCAATTATAAATAAAGAAAATTATTAGTACATATTGTTTCTTCATTTCGTAAACTTTCGGGTTTTTGTTAATTGTAGAAAACACTCTGAACGAGAGCCCGTGCTAAATGCGTATTTCTAAAACTCGATAGGAACAAAGAACTAGCATGCGCTGTTGACGTAATGATGGCGCGAGTAAAGAGAATTTACATTTCGATAATCCACATAAGCGAGGGATTTTCCTTCCTTGTTCTCGTAGTGATTTCCAAATAGAGGCACTCGTGAAAGTTTGGGTGAACCCAAAAAGCTGCGGAAGCACTCGCGAAAAGGCGAAAAGCTGGGTCGGTCGAACAAGGGGATGGCATAACTCGATATTATTGGTAAATCTTTTTGGTTGTTATAGACCCTTTTATTCACAGAAACATGACTGTAGTATGTAATGTATTGGCTCTATTGTTCGTCGAAGGAAAAGTGACTCTGAAGGTTCCCGAACATTGTCCAAGATGTTAGTGTTTACCCGAAGATCGATCGTGCCTGAAGATCGATCATGCCCGAAGATCGATCATGCCCTATGATGTCCCAAGAATTTTCGAGGACGTCGAGCATTTTCGGATGTAGTCAGGTGGTCAGCAAAATTCGAGTGAATTAGGTACAAACATAATTGCGTACTGAAATATATTCAAACGTAAAAGATATGATCCCTTAATGGCCACTTTTAATGATCAATTATCACACGTTCAGGGATACATGTACGTCAAAAGGCTTGTGTGGTTTTCCTTTACACATTAGGAAATAAATTTAAATGTTGAGTAACAAACCGCATTGAGTATATGTACTTTGAGATTATAGAATGCACAAAAAGGCAGGAAATGCAAGTTACAAAGTGCTTGTCAACAGCATTTCATCTCCGTTCTTTTCCCTTAGGTCACCGAGAAGCACTTTCTGATTGGCTTCTTTGTCCATCAGGTCGGGTGTTATTAGTTTGATCAAACGCTAAAAAAAAAAAAACAACAAAAACACAACATGTAAATGTACGTTCTCTCATGATAATATTCTGGCTTTCAAAAATTATAGACACCGCATTCCCGTACAATACTGCCTTTCGTAATATTCCTATATAAAGAGGAGACTGAGTTACCTGGCCTGTTTAGCGTAATCACTTTCTTGTATAAGGGATGAACCATTATAATTTTGATGGAGAGAGGGTTGGGTAATTACAAAAAGAAAAAAATATTCTCATCTTAGAAAAACATGACAAAAAGATCGTGCAAAGTGATCCACACTAAAAAAGAGACTTGGAGAACGCCCCAAGAAAATGTCTTATCCCCCTCTCCTTTTCCTACCTCTAATAGACATTATGATCAATTCCCAGTTCCCTCTATAAGTTGCGACTGCAGGGAATCATGGTAGCTGTATCCATCATCTTGGACTGAATATATGCTTTGATGACTACAACTACCATGATTCCCTGCGGGCGCGCCCCATAAAGGAAATTGGCCATTCCTCCAACTTTAACATATATTATGAGCGACGGTTAATTTTGAAGGTCGGATTGGTCATCTTGATAATTAAGGCTGTAACATTAAGCTCGTCAGTGCAATCAATATTGCTCCTTGTAAAACCCAGACTGTGGGATTTCTACGTCATTCTGTTGACTTCATGAAAGTCACACGGGGTGTTCATGGCTGGTGTGGTCACATTAAGGCAAACTCCATTGCATGCTTATCATAGTACGGGCCTTCTATTCTTCTTGGACGTTTTGTACTGGCCGTACGCGTATCTATTTATTACAGTTTAATGACAACAAATTAACAAAAACAGAAATGGTCCGAAAAAGAGTCATAGACCCCATACTCAGACAAAGAAGATTAAAATGAATATATTCCATAAGCCAACCAATTCAGTTGGTATTCATTGAGAAGCTCCTTAACCCACGCTTAAAACTTGAAATAAAAACCACTCCGGGAGATATTTACCTCTTTCATAGTACCAGTGGTCTTGATTAGCTTGTATATCATCACCGCAGGAATTAAGGACAATGAGGATAACGTGAGCAGCCAACCAATCACCTGACCCCAGTCTGGATACTTGTAATTGTCATACGACAGTGGGGAATACGTCACAAATTGGAAGATGAAGATAAACTGTAAGATTAAAATTAAAAGTTTGATCAGTATCGAATGTGCTGGGCAATGTAAGGGTACATTTCAAAGTTTTTTCTATTTGCATTTAGAAAATAGACTCCATTATGACGGACACACAATCAAGCAAACGCTTGACGAGGTTTGCAAAGTACCATTTTCTCCGCGGCCATCTACAGGGCACCTGATGCAATGTTTGCACGGGTGATTGCCTCCTCGATGGAGTTCATTTATAGTATACTTAAAAAGACCGAATTGCTTTAGAATGCCTTAGACAATAGGTATTTTTCGTTATTTGCTGTCTGTCGCCGTTAAAATTCCGGCATATCGCTCAAGGCCTCTGAAGCCTCCGGAAACGACTAGAAGCCATCCCAAGATTGTCCAAAGCGACTTGCAGATATTCAACTATACCAGGCTTTGGAATTTCTCAGTCTTTTAAAGTCTGCGTTTGGCTAACTTTTCCACCATTAATTTTTTAAAAGAATTTCTTAAAGCTGGTTGTCCTGGACGTAATAATTGGTGTTACAACTGGAGTAACAGTATCAAAAATAGGACTCAACTACTGAATATACTCACCAAGCAAAAAATGGGTGCGAAAAAACACCAGCACCAACCAATCCACGGATTGATACGAAATCCCAGCATGTTTTCCATGTCATCATAGAAACGATGGCGACCTGTCAATAGAATGCTAAGTTGTATTGTAAACTACGTATTTACTTAGACTCATGAATCCAGTCGTATTCGCACGTTTTTTTTTTTACGGTTTTCAAGGAGATATAACAGAAAAATTGCAATTCTTCGACACATGACATGGTTTCTTTGGTATAACTGTTCACGTTCATCTTCATTAAGTCGTGCTAATCATTTTTCCATTTCCACAACCAAGAATTAAGTCTAGCTGCATTAAAGAATTTTTCTCAGATGTAAAAAACTAATGCTTAGTGGTTCACACCTTACGTGCTTTACAACGGCTTTTGTAGCATGAAGCGACAAGGAACCTGATTGCCACTTCCCCTGGATAGATGCTCCTCTAGTCTTAGATGGTTCAGTCTCTGGATTACGGTCAGGTTGTCTAAATAACTAAATGTGATATTTTATACTTAGTGTTGGGAGGCACTCTGAGAAGAAGTTGTCTCGCCCAGCGATTCCGGTACGGCTTGAGCCCGACACTAGATATAGAGTTTACAACACACTTCACCCAGACGTGGAAGAAGCCAAATGCTATAAATTGCTTCTCACCATACAGCCAACCTATGGCCAAACTTTCACAGAAGACCACCACCAGGAGAACTGATCCGCTACCAGAATAGGCGTCAAACAATTGCAGGACATACATTCCACCCTAGAAAGAACCATCGATTAAGATTTACACATTTTCAGGATTTATGGACACACATGCACATCACTGCGGAGAAGGACTGGCTACCACAAGCAAGCGATAAGATATAATTAACACTTTCGTTTTCTTGTCATGATTCTGTCACCGTAAAAAGCCAGAAAGATTTAATGAAAAATTTACTTGTTTGAAACATCTCTAATGGTTTGAACCGAATAGTACTAGTATGGTCTGTCTAGGCTGAAAAGGTCGAAATTGGTTCTAGTAAACTATTGTAGCGTGGATTGAAGAAAATAAAAGTGTCGTACCTCAGTAACCATCGACAGCCCAACGACAAACCAGATAAAACAGACAAAGGCGGTGAACAGTTCCTTGCGGTATCCACGTCTAAGATGATGCGGTAACCAATCAACGATGGCCGTCACAACACCTTCGATACCTACAAACTTGAGGCATGCAAAAAATTCAAATCAGTCTCATAAAGGTATAAAATGAGGTGAAAGATGTCGAGCAACGTAATATGGTGCAATAACGCCGATGGCACATCTTAAATTTTTCAAGTTTGTAAATTACAGTCCACCTCCATGGCTTTAGATCTTGTTTCAAACCACCCTGTTCTTTGTTGGAAACAAAGGCTCCTGTACTTGGATAATAATTAGTCAGTCTCTCAGTCAGTGGGTCTGCCGGTCTTGCAGTCTATCAGTCTGTCAATGTGTCAGACTGTTAGGCCCTTCCACACCACGCAGGAGAAAATTGAAAAGAGCCTTTTCACTCTAAAAACGCATCAAATGTTTTCCGTCCACACTACGCCGGAGGAATTTTGAAACGCAATAATCACCGGTAATTTTGGATTTGTGTTTGAGGAAAACTCGGGCAGGAAAATCACGTGATTATCGTAGTGTAATCTTTTCCGAAAAGCTCCTTTTTCAAAATGTTTCCGTCCACACTAGCTAAAACGCGAAGCCGGTGTTTTCAAATTCCTCCGGTTTGAAGATCGTTTTCGGAAAACTCCGTTTTCGTTTTCGTGACGGATTAATGTGGATTAGTGTAAAGCTGCGTTTTGAAATTTATCCGGTGAACTGTGGACCGGGCCTTAATCTGTCAGCCAGCCAGTCAGTCTGCCTAGTCGTTCGGATTAGTTAGTTACCTCGCTGTCTAGACCAAGCAGGAGTATCATGAAGAAGAACAGAGCAGACCACAGCGGAGCTAAAGGCATCTGAGCTACCGCTTCTGGATAAACTATGAAAGCAAGTCCTGCACCTAGAAGAGAAATAAAATAAAAGCTGATCCCAGGACGTGGAGATTTTATATAATGCACACGCAGCTTGATGAAGGTGTAAAAAGTTTAAAGATGACTGTTTTATCCAAAACAATTGGGTAACTCCACGTTGTAATTGTTGGTGTTAGTGGTTCACACTCTGCTAATATAAAATATTATAATAGCACCCTTTCCGAGGTGTTTCTTTCTGTTTTACAAAATGAGTCGGAATTCCTTGAGCAACTTCTGCTAGAATTTTCAGAAAACTCCACTTGGCTTCCCCCCTTCTGTTTCTGTACGTGCATCCACGTCGTAACTGTCAAACAGTGACAAGTACCTGACGTGGCCACATCTTTGATATCCACTCCCTGATTTTTGGCCATAAATCCCAGCACAGAGAAGATCAGAAATCCGCCAAAGAAACTTGTTCCACTGTTAAATAATGTGAACAATATTGAATCCCTATAGAGGAGCAAGAAAATGAGCAAAAAAGAACAGGTTTTAAAGAGTAACTACGATGCACGGAACCCGGAGGTAGCCTGGCCTAATCTAGGCGGGCCACATCTATATTTATATTAAAAAAATAAATAAATAAATAAATAAAAAAAAAAGATTGTTATGCAACTACTTATAGTCAATAGAAGGATTTACAAAACCGTTTAATACAAGTACATTTACATATTTTGATTGACACTAGGAGCTATGATTTACTAGAGATAAACTAAACTATGGGTCAAAATTAATCAGGAACTAAATTTAAGAACTTGAGTCAGGGTGTCGACTTCAACATAGTCAACCCTATCTGAAAGAGTCTCAAATAAAAATCAACGAATTGTTTTCTTAAAGATTGGTTTAGATAAATCTCTCCAGTCTGGAGAAATTTGATTCCATAATATCGCTCCAGTTCTCGAAAAAGAGCGTTTGAAAATTTCTGACTTCACTTCTTTCCGAGGATAATTCCCTTTTGCGGCACACAAGCAAGGTGGCTCTTAGTTTATAGAGACAAACCGAAATTTATGCAGAGTGAAATAATTTTAAAGAAATCTTTACCCCGAAAACGTACTTTCTGGTACGAGCTTCATGGCGGCAAATCCGGTCCTCATAATTCTTCTCCTTTTGGTGGTTTGTACACTTCCTTACCTTGTGGCGTCTTGCCTTAGTCTGTTTTCGTAACTTCTTTTTCAACAAAAGGCAACTTTTTCTCGTTGTAACAAGACTAATTCAGTATCGCAAAACATCAGCACCTTCAACACCTTAACATGTATGATACATGTGCTTGTCGCACTGCTAAAAGATTACTCTTTGCTGGGGTCTTGTTACATTGGTTCGTAGTTGTCAGATTGATTTAGCAGATCCCTTTAGCTGACCAACTGAACAAAGAGGACTATCCGTAATAAAGATGATTTCGTTTAGTGGAGCGAAATCAGAAACGTTACTGCAAAGAAACTATCTAACTAGTGCAAGTGCTGCTATATTGATGTACCTGTAAAAGTTGTTTTTACGTTTGTTGTAGCTTCCCAGCGCCGTCAAGGTTCCATTTCCAATTGAATACGAGAAAAATACTTGCGTTCCTGCATCGATCCAGACCTAAGAAGACAGACAGCAGTGACTGATCGAGAAATATAAAACAAAGTAAAAAAAAAAAAAATGGCCACAAATGGACCTCTTGTACTTTCCATTCAAACAGCGACCCTTCAAGCTTAACAAAAACACAAGGTACAAGGTTGCCTGCAAAGGGCAAAAAAAAGCGACAGAGTAAAATGTGAGAACCTGGCCATCGCTTAGTCTTGACAGGTCGGGTGTAAGGTAAAACTTAATTCCTTCAACGGCTCCCGGCAATGTGACTCCACGGATCAGAATGGCCGTCAATAGCAGGTAAGGAGCTGTAGCAGTGAAATACACAACCTGGAAAAGATGGCGTCTTGCATAAATGGAGTGTCTGTCAAGTTAACTTTATACAGACCTTGCAACAATTGCCCATTTCCGAGCTGCCTTTTAGCTCTGTGCCAAATCTAGTCTTTGTGCGAAACCATTCATAAGAACAGGTTCACTCTTTTATGAAACCAAACTCATCTTTATATGAAAGGTTTTAAACTAGGACTCGTTCTTTTCAACAGAGCTGACAAGGGAACTTGGAAATGGCCTTTTATCTCCCTTTTTATTTGTCCGTTATTTGTTTCAACTTTACTTGTAAGTCTTACATATACATATGACACGTTACTGAGAACGTAATTGCAACTTAGTTTTCCGCAATCGCCAAACTGAGTTCCGGGGGGGGGGACTCCCATATAAAAGGAAGGGGTGCTCGTCGGGAATTTTGAAAAGAACCCTAAGAGGTACTAAGGCCCTATTTTGTGGGCGTGGCTTGAAATTATTTTCACCCCTAAGAGGTAACAATTCTAAAGCAACGCATTTTAAAACCGCGAAAGCTCCGGCTGTGGAACCTTTTGAAGCCGAACACCCTGAGAAGTACCAAATCCACTTTTTTAACCTCTGAGGGGTACGGTGAGCACACCGTCCCTTTTATATCGGAGTCCACACCACTGGGGTTGAGTGCACGTTTTTTGGCTCTATTCTTTAGCAAGTTCATTCTGTCGAGAAAAGAGGCTATACCTTGCCACTGGACTTGACTCCTTTACACACGCACAGGTAACAGATAATCCAAGCCAACAACAGACACAGCGCTAGGTCCCAGTTCACTTGTCCTGGCTCACCAAAACCATCAGAAAGCCGTAATACCCTATAGCTAATGAAACAGCGTTTATTATCAGATTAAGAGTTAACTGGATATTGTGGTATTTGCAAAGGGATTTACCAATCACCGCACAATATAACTAATAAGGCAATTGCTCATCGTTAACACAATATTCTTGGCGGGAAAAGAAATTGATAACGCCAGGGACTGTGCGTAATTTTCTTTATTAAAAATTGAATTCAAAACAATTCGCTTCTTTAAGCTACAGCCTGTGGAAATCCTGTCGAGATAAATGGTGTTGGAAAACTGAAAACGCTGATTTCTTTCGTTCATGCCGTGAAGGATGGAAAACACACCGGTAGAAAACAAAATGGCAATTTAGCGTCCGATCACTTTTCAGTCATCATTGTTCGTGTTATAATTAACATCAAATTCAAACATATTAGGAGAATAGCATTCCTGCTTTCTGCATCAATTATTTCATTTCCGATTTCTGATGTGCAGATTTCCCATTTGAAATTCTACCTGCCTGGATTTGAGAAAGACCTTTGCTTGAGCGGGTGTAGTTTACACAGTAAACCCTAAGAATTAATGTATTTATGTCTGCTCTGACGTTAAAATATCACTGGTCGATTGCTAGACCGAACTATACCCTGTGATATTCGTCTATTTTGTATCTATCGTAAGGAAAAGGTTTCCTTCGATAGACAATGTTTTATTCTCATGGCATATATGGACAACTTGATATAAAATGATAATCTGAGAAACAAAATTGATCATTATCGAGCACTGATGGCTGTTACGCCTGGTTTTCACTACAACATAAGCACAAGCTTGTGCTTATGCGTATGTCAATTGCGAACGCGCTGTCGTAATCTTATGCGTAAGCATAAGTCCTCCATCTTGTTTTACTGTATCGAGGGGGTTTATGAAACCGAAAATAAGGTAATTATCCATTCTGTGCATGCTTACATGCTTGTGCTTGTGTTGTGGGTATCCTTACTACCGTTATGCTTATGCTTATGGTTACGCTTATGTTGTAGTGAAAACCAGGCTTTAAAGCTGGAAAGGTATATTAGCTGGAACACTGTTCTACTTACTTCCAGTATTCCTGACTTGCTGACACCTTAGTTGCACTTGTAACTGTCGCGTTTGTAAGGATTGTAGAATTTGTTACCAGCTTACTCGTTTGGCTTTCCTCGCTGTAAATCACGCAGTTTGGAGTGTTCCATTCATTTCCACAATGTGACCAAGGAAGTCTTGACTGGAAGGACGCGAACATGTAAAATAGGGCCCAGCCAAGAATCACGGTGTAATAAATATTAATATACTGCATAACCAGTACACCTGCGTAGCCAATACCTAAGTAAAAGGTAGAGTTTTGATTGATCTCTATGGTACATTTAATACTCCTTTAAACTATGTTTGCATCCTCTGGTTCCACCAGAGATCTCTAAGCTTCTGAAGAAACTCTTTTTTGTATGTTCTCTGGTTCTTCGATAAATCTCTAAGTTTCTGACGGGGCTGTGTCATAGTTTATAACAGTTATTTTTACCTCGAAGTAGAAACAAGCTAAAGCAGGTATATTTATATGAACATAGACCTGAAAAGATCAGAGGGCCAATAATAAATCAAATGGCAATTGGAATGTGTTAAGAATAGAATTGAGGTTGTTACTTTGAGGTTGTAACTCGTTTTCTTCTTAGTTTTGTTTACATAATTATTACTCATTAACGATTTTGTACATTTTTTTAAATTTTTGCTGTTCATGCTGCGATTGCTGTGATCAATGCAAGTTTCGTAATATAACCTTTGGAATCACATAATTAGAGACACCACGTTTTCATCAGTTTAGTTGCGCCGCCTACGTTCCGCTAATCGTTTTTTCAATTGCTACCTTCGCAGGAGCAAGATCAAAGTGAGTCTTTGCTAAATATTTTTAGTCGTAACCGTGTCGTTATAGTTTAAGATCTATGTTCCATTAGTATCCTTGATTTATGTTTTGTATCTTAGCTAGTATTAGCTTACATAAGCCTTTTGTATCATTTTGCTTTTAGTTCGAACCACACAATCACAACCGTAACCATAACTACGACTTCGCATTACAAATACATCTCTTTTTTGTTATCCTAATTCTTATATTGTTGACTCCTCGCTCCCTTCCAATAAACGCTAACGATTGATTTTACTGCGACCTGGTTTCTTTGGAATTATTACAATGTGCGTTCGAGTGTTTCAAGCGTTCGAGTGTTTAAGTCCTAATCTACACGTGGCTTCTCTCCTGGAAAGTCACATCAGTTCGAATTTGACGGAAAGGTACCGGTAAGACCTCTTACCGGTATCTGGCCAAAAGTAATTTCGTAAAAAGACGCTTCAGACGGTCCAGGAAGGCGAAAAAAACCATACATGAGTCGATTAATGTTTCATTTAACTTTATCGGGATATTCAGACCGAGATGCAATTTTATGCAATTTTCAGAGCTTTATTCATAACCCTCATAGATTCTGTTCGTTTCATATAAAAAATAGGCCGTATTTGTATTCTCGGTATTGGACTGGAACTAGCTTGCAATGGAGGCTCATGTGGGGGAATATCATTACAAAGAGATTAATTTTATTTACATGTGAAAAGACTCCCCGCATTAGCCTCACTTGCAAGCTAGTTCCAGTCCTATGCCGAGAATACGAATAAGGCCTATTATTAACCGCGAACACATAGAGTGGTCCGCCTGTAAGTGAATATGAATCACTTCCGACTATTTTTTGGAGTCAGGCTAGAAAATGTTTCAAGCTCCTGGGGTTAAGTCCTAATCTACACGTGGCTTCGCTTCTGGAAAGTCACAGAGGTGAATAAAAAACGTCAAACTGGGAACAATAACATGCATAAGGCAGAACCTTAACATTTTATTTATCATTTTGCTACTAAAGATCAAACACGAAAGACCGCGTTTTACCACATTTCCAAAGACCGAGAAGAGGGTTGAAAAACGACGCGTAAAGGAGTACATCTGAAAAACTTCGAGGTGTTTGGAAACGGGGTAAAACACGTTTCGAGTGTTTGATATATCCTTTCAATCGAAACTAAAACTAAGAAGTAGGCGTCAAAAATCTATGCATATTAACATCAGCAATTGCCTAGCTGTAGTGGTCTCCCTGCCTAATGAATTTTGGTTTATATAAGTTAAGTATTTTAGTTCGACGAAGTTTAATAAATAAATAAATAAATAAATAAATAAATAAATCCTAACTTCGTCACGGCTATGATTTCTGTTGTTTAAATTTGGTGAACACACTGTAATAAATGAGTACGAGAAGAAATTTTCAGATGTTACATTCACTAAAGGTTTCGAGGTCTGTTAGCTTCCGATACCATAAGCCATGGTCCCTCAGTTTACCTCAGATGGTGCATTACAGTTATTTAGTAGTACCTTGAAAAAGAGGGCAAATTTTCCACGCAGTGATTGCGCCTTGACTTGTGTACTGTCCCAAAGCAATTTCCAAAACCAGAACCGGTACTCCTGCCACGACCAGGCAAATTAAGTAGGGGATGAGAAAACAACCTGAAATGTACATGTCAACCACAATTAACCAGATATTAACCACTAAATATTTCAGGTAGGAAGCTGTGTTCGAAACCAATAAGGAGATTTACAATGACTTGAAAATAGACAAATATTACACATATGCATTCCTACAGTCTTGGTTGTTGGGGATTGGTTATGAACTATGTTAAACTGGGGCAATAAAAGTACAGTACAGTGAAAAAGGAGAATTCTTATGCCGGCCTACTGAAGAGATAAAGCTTTACAGAGAACCAGAAGCTAGGAATTTGGTAGGTTTTATAACCTTTTCCTCTTCGAACTAATTAAGGGTCCTTACATACGGTGACTGCGCCCGCAATACGAGCCAGTCAAAACCGAACTCAGTCAAGTCGAAACGATACGGTAATGTCGATAATAGCCCCTTTTTTCGCAGCAAACAAACATATAGACAATACTTGAGTTGCTTTGGCCTCTTCTAATACTTAACTTGAAAACCGGGGCTTAATTTGATTAGGAACCACATCTGTTTTTTCAAAATAACACAATTATTACCCTACCCGGTGACACTCGACGAGGGAAGAGCGAGCTGCTGAACACGGGTCGCCAAGCTTGCAGACACAAAATGTTTCATATTTTTCAACTTCTAATTTGATATGGTTTTTGAAATTGTAAATCCCTTTTTATAAATATTCAATGCCGTGTCTTGTAAGAAATGTTGCCCGACTTCAATGCCTTTCCTGTTAATATACATTCGACGTCAGGACCGTACAATTTTTCATGCCTGCTGAGTCCTGATTGGTCAATTCAAATTTCAGCCGAACCAGCCGTATGCAAGGGTCATCTTCAGTGAAAAGAAACGAGGTCGCTCGGTGAATAATTTTCCCTAATAATGGAATGGCTAACCAAATAGACTATATATCGGTCATGTACTTCAAGCACTCACCTCCGCCATTTTTGAAACACAGGTAAGGAAACCGCCAAATATTTCCAAGGCCGATGGAAAACCCCATCAAAGCCAGTATGAAATCAAACTTTGCCGTCCAAGTCTCTCGTTCAACTTTAACCTCTGCCATTTTGAATTTCCAGTTCCAGTAAAAGGAAAACTGTGCAAAGAATAATAAATATAATATATATAACGTATTCTCACTAAATTTGGCGAGTATTTAATTTCGCGAAAAGTCAAGCTCCATATTTCGCGAGTATTAAATTTCGCGATTTTTTCTATTCTTTAATATGTAGCTTTGACTTCAGAACTGTAAAAACATAATTAATATGATCGTCGTCGTAAACAATAGCAAACAAACCCAAACAAACCCAAACAAACCCAACAAATGGAAAGTTTGACGACTGCACAAGGAACTTAGAGGCGGATGACAATAATAATTGTGACAGCGAGAGTGATGCAGAGGAAGATAACCGATGGACAACATCCAACAAAAAACTCCTAAACATGAAGCCGAGACATGTTGGAATAACAGTAATAAAGCATCAGCTTGAATTTCATTATTAGTTGATATTATATAGGTATTAAGTTTTATAAATTTTTTTTTAAAAAAAGCTGTACATAAGGTTCAGAGCCACCTTAACGTTTTCAAAATTTAAGGTGGCTCTGAACCCTATCTACAGAATTTTTTTCAAACTTTGCCAAAAGTTGCATCTTATCGTGCTTATCAAAATTTGATAACAAAAAATTTCACCGTGCCGTTTTTGAATCATAAGCCCCTAAATCTGTAATTAAGGGTGTTTTTAGCAGGTTATACTGTTGCTATGGGAACCTATTGTGTCACGAAAATGATAACAACGTGTTCACCAATGACTGGGCAGTTTTTTGATGCCATGATTTTAGCATCAAATGATAAAGAATGGTTATAACGACCCATCAAAATCTAAGTGTTGGAACTGTTTTGAGCCGTATTAAACGATGGTGAACAGACGACGCTGAAATTATTCTTCTCAATATAAGCTTATATAAAGCAAACATTCCTGATCTGTCAGTATTTCAGTAATAAAGAATCCAGAATTTCCGTATGAAGAAATTAAGTGAACTTGGTTCAGATGGCTTTTTGNACTGTAAAAACATAATTAATATGATCGTCATCGTAAACAATAGCAAACAAACCCAAACAAACCCAAACAAACCCAACAAATGAAAAGTTTGACGACTGCACAAGGAACTTAGAGGCGGATCACAATAATAATTCTGACAGCGAGAGTGATGCAGAGGAAGATAACCGATGGACAAAATCAAACAAAAAACTCCTAAACATGAAGCTGAGACATGTTGGAATAACAGTAATAAAACATCAGCTTGAATTTTCATTATTAGTTGATATTATATAGGTATTAGGTTTTATAATTTTTTTTTTTAAAAAGCTGTACATAAGGTTCAGAGCCACCTTAAAGTTTTGAAAATTTAAGGTGGCTCTGAACCCTATCTACAGAATTTTTTTCAAACTTTGCCAAAAGTTGCATCTTACCGTGCTTATCAAAATTTGATAACAAAAAATTTCACCGTGCCGTTTTTGAATTATAAGCCCCTAAATCTGTAATTAAGGGTGTTTTTAGCAGGTTATACTGTTGCTATGGGAACCTATTGTGTCACGCTAATGATAACAACGTGTTCACCAATGACTGGGCAGTTTTTTGATACCATGATTTTAGCATCAAGTGATAAAGAGTGGTTATAACGACCCATTAAAATCTAAGTGTTGGAAACTGTTTTGAGCCGTATTAAACGGTGGTGAACAGACGACGCTGAAATTATTCTTCTGAATATAAGCTTATATAAAGCAAACATTCCTGATCTGTCAGTATTTCAGTACTAAAGAATCCAGAATTTCCGTATCAAGAAATTAAGTGAACTTGGTTCAGATGGCTTTTTGCCAGCAGAGCGTTTTATAATCCTGTCGAAGAATTCTCACTGAAGGTGAATATTTCCATTTGTAAAGTCGAAGAGCGTGGGGAAACGAGTCTGCAATGTCCTACGTTTTGAATTCGTAGCTCTGAGTTTCTACAATCTCAGACAAAAGAGTTGGGACACGGAGCAAGTTCTCCCCTCCCCCCACTTTCAATGTTGATAATCAGGTGATTTTTTCCCCTTTTTGTCGGAAAAAACGCCATATTTTCCAATATTGATTAGGGGGGATGGAGGATACGTGA